GTCAATTTGCTAACAGCTTTAATTGTTGAATTTCTCGTAACACAAGTAGAACACATACTGTCACGTTAATGCATTGTCAAAGAAGTCGATAGCTGCCGGAAATATTTCCGGCAAATATTATCCTCTGATTTTTTTCAGCAGTATTGGCGCAACAATGTTATCATCACAGTATCTACTATAGGTTTCGGTCATTTAAAAAGGTGCACGCGTGATTATATAAATCACAGGCCTTGAGACTTGAGTCCCAAAAAAATTGTATACTGAGTTTGATACTTAGCTGATTTTTATTTTATTTGATATAAAATGTCCTCATAGAAAAAACAGTTCATTTTAAAAGCTTCATACACTGGGCCCTTTAAAAATATAAAAGTTGATTTACATAATGCATTATCGTCCGTTTGCCTTGCTCTTTATTTTCCATCAATATTTTCCTCCCCCATCGCCCTGTACAAAAACACTTGGAGGAAAGGGAGGAGAGAAGTGAAAGATAGAAGTAAGATATCAACCTGCTGAGTGGCATGCAGTTGGGAGATGTAAAACGAGGCTCGCTCACAAAGTGGGCTTTTTGTATTTTTTACCGGATTACATTCAACGCCCCTCTCCTCTATAACGAGAGCGACCCTTCTCTTGTCACAACCCTACGTTATTCCGTGGGGTTTGCCCTCTTATCGATAGTTAGGTACTGCAAAACGGAACGTATTCAGTCGAAACGAGCACAGCAACATTAGAAATTGCACGTGCAGACATGGTGAACAAAATGATCTCAACAAAATAAAAATAAAACAAAGTCATGAATTTCAGAGCCCGGTGTGCAGTGTTCGTGGTCAAAGAAATTCTTCAATTTTTGCACTTGCATAAAGTTTGGCCGGTAGGAATCCGTTTTATAAGTGGTGATTAGAACCGGAAGTACCATGGATTAGCGAAAATTGCGGATAGTTTGAGGTACAAATCATAAATTTTAACTCATAAATGCATGCAAAAAAATGAATTAATGAATCAAAAAGAAATGGGGATTGCAAGATGAAATACTTTGAATCCATCCACAACAACTATACTGACTATTCGCGTCCTCATCAACTGCAACATTATTTTCTTCGGCTAAATAGACTATCATATCAAAGAACACCAATTACCAAATAATTAAAATTACAAAAAGAAAGTAACATGGCGAGATCGTAAAATTCACATATCCTGCCAAAGTATCACAAGCGCCACGCTACGTTTCAAAATTTCCACCACCAATTTATTTTTGAACAGAGAAATTTTTGTTTTGATCTGTTTGAAAATTTCACTGAATTTTTTCGACAGAACAAAGAAAATTCAGTGAAATTTCGGATAGGTTTTTCGCTTTCAAAGAATTAAATAAAACAATTTCTCTTTAAAAAAAAAAATAGCAGCGGACATTTTTAAACGTCGCATGGCACTTGTGATACTTTGGCCGAGAGGTGACGATATAATATGGTTCCTCCATCACCACATGAAAATTGACCACATTCCTTTCAAATCGTTCAATTTAAAAAAAAGAAAAAAGAAAAGGTCCGCTGAAAACAGCGCAATAATGCGAGCGCTGCAAATAAAAAGGGTATACTGCTGAATGTTATTTTTTATTTTTCCTTTCTTTTTTTAAAACAAAATTACGGACGAAACTTCCAAAGTACCGCATAGTCTATCGATATACATGATATGTAAAGTCACGAAGTTCTTTTTAGTTAGTAGCAAGGCAGTGTTCCGCCTTCAATTCAAGAGATAGGCAAAAGCGGGTCCGCAAGAGTTGCAACAGTTGTATCTGCAGGAAGAACGTAAGAAGGAATGCAGTTTAAAAGTTTCTCCCTCAGCAATTCTTTCAAAAATAAAGCCAATCATGTCGTCCGTGTCTGGTGAAATCTTGGATCATGACACGTCAATAACGATTATAAGAAATTAATATTAGGAGCAGAACTGACAGAACTCCACATCTTTATTTATTCATTCGGGGGAGGTGGGGGGGGGGGGGGTTAAATTTTNACTACAAACGAACTGTACCTTAAAATTTTCATATCCCAGAAGCAAAAGTTCCCATGACGAATATTGCTATCGCTAGCGATTGCAAAAACCAACTTGTTCCTTTCTTTTTTTAAAACAAAATTACGGACGAAACTTCCAAAGTACCGCATAGTCTATCGATATACATGATATGTAAAGTCACGAAGTTCTTTTTAGCATGAATACGTCAAATAAGTTAGTAGCAAGGCAGTGTTCCGCCTTCAATTCAAGAGATAGGCAAAAGCGGGTCCGCAAGAGTTGCAACAGTTGCATCTGCAGGAAGAACGTAAGAAGGAATGCAGTTTAAAAGTTTCTCCCTCAGCAATTCTTTCAAAAATAAAGCCAATCATGTTGTCCTTGTCTGGTGAAATCTTGGATCATGACACGTCAATAACAATTATAAGAAATTAATATTAGGAGCAGAACTGACAGAACTCCACATTTTTATTTATTCATTCGGGGAAGGTGGGGGGGGGAAGGGTTAAATTTTATTAGACTCCATTTGATCTTCTTGCTCTTGTCTTTGATTGTGTCCACTTTCGCCCGAAATGAACAGCTCCAGCTTACTGCGCGGATGGATCGAAGCCCATAGGCTACTGTTACAACGCGTCGGTGTATGAAATGATTACTTCTAAATCTCATTTGCTGCTCCATGCAAAGAGAACGAGGAGTGGTGGCGTTTTAAGCGGAGTTTTTGTATTCACGCAGTCAGCTGCAAATGAGTGCCCGGCACAGTGATGTAAGGGGAAAGACTAAAGCATGAAGCAAGCCTTAAACATCGCTCGTGAATATGAGGAGGGATCTCCCAGTGGCGAGGCGTGAATGGTCGATTATCGATATTTCCCGATTTGAAGCTGTGGTAAAGAATCGATTATTAAAGTGTTCATTGCGAACATCCTGCTTATCGATCCTTTTCCAAAGGTTTAAATGGCAGATCCATCGATATATCGCAAAGTACGCCACGCCAATATGGGTTTTCCCTGGTAAGCTGTTTTTCAATGTATAGGCCCAGCAATCAATTACAAATTTAAGATTTTGAAAGACTTCTGAGGTTTCAACGATGGAACGTTTTCCAAAAAAAGAGAAGACAAACTGGTAGGATACAATCCGTCTTGGTTTGAGATAGTTGTCCTGCCAGTATGAAAAGTTGCAATGTATTTTTTAAAATTGTCAAACAGAGAATGATGAAACATGAAACATACATGAAAGTACGTACATGAAAGTGTTGCTACCTGACATGTACCTAGACATAGTAGTGGAACGTGTCGTACTCTGCGAGATGGTGAACGTAGGTTTGCCGTTCACACCTTTAAACCTATTTTGCTGAAAATTTATTTTATTTGTATTTATTTATCTGTGAATTATTATCTGTTCAACATAGGATGCTTGCATACGGCGATTAGAAGAAAGCGGAGACAATAGTGTGTCAAAGAACTTGTCTTTTCACAAAATAACTCTCAGTTTCAAAGTATCAACCAGGGCTCTCTAATCAGGATAAAAAGTTAGTACATATTCCTCTCCTACAAAAACGCTCTTAAGTAGTCAGCAACAAGACCCATAAGATGAATGAATGTAAGGTTGTTAAAAAAATTTACCTTTCTCGAAAGGAGTATTCAACCAGGTAACATGGTTTGACTACATTGAAATGGATATGCAACACGCAAATCATTGAAATATCGAGGCATATTTAAAATCTGTAAGCGTTGCCATTAAAAAGTGCTTTCAAATCTTTGATTTGCTGAATTCGAAAATTTGAGTCGGCTTTCTAGTTTCCCGTCAAGAAATGCCACCTAATACCAAGTTTCACAAAAATCTACCGAACAGCAGCCGCGTATCATATAGGATCAGTAGGACTCTTCTCTGTGGTAAGCAAGCGATACCAGTCAATTTGCATACGTTGATGCGCCTTCATTTTCGTCTGATACTGTGCATTGCTTCTGTGGCGGAATAGTTGCTCGGAGCGCCTTCGACAGTATAGTTTCCACTCACCAAGTCACCACCACTACTTGGTGGCGGAATATCACGATTACCGCTGATACGCGCGCTGTGACACAGTCCCTCATCACCGATGATGAGGTAAAATACATGCATACCTCAATTTGCGACGTTGCAAGTTTTTTCACTGCTTTTTTATGCGATTCAATCAATAAGAAGGGCAGACAGAATTTTCTTTGATGTAAGAGTTTCACGATTTGCAATGAGGCCACTCATAGGAAATCGTACAATCGCTTGATATTCTGTTAGGTCCATGCCGCGGGGTGATCCAAAAGTCTCTTCCACCCCATCTAACTATTTATCTAATTGAGCCAGAGATTTGAAGGAGGGTAATTACCCTTGGTAAAAGGAGTTTCTTTTTGGTAGTACTATAATTTTTAGGGGGCTCCCCTATGGAGGAGCAACGGACAGGCAAAAATGTCTAAATAGGCATTTTTGCCGATATATTTGCCTGAAAATTAGTTACTGGTAGTATTTTGACAGATAAAAACAAATTTGACATCAGATAAAAAAAAAAAAAAAAAAATCGGCTAATTTCAATTTGAATTCAATATTGAAAAATTTGGTCTGCACAAGAATCTATTGGCAAATTCATTCCTGTCATCCTGCCAAAATAACTTTTAAAAACATGAAAAAGAACAGTATTGGTAAGAAAATATATTAAATTAGACCATTATACCAACTTGTGTGCATTTTTAACATAATTTTATACTATCGTAAATCCTTGTCCTTTTCCCGCATTAAATACAGCCAACTAGAATCTAGATTTTCCTTGGAAAAATATAATCCAAACGTAGAATATAACGGTTATTGATTCTAGATTTTGAACTAATTTCATCCGATACCACTTGGTTATCATCTTGGTCGCTCGTCAGTTTCAATTGCGTCATTTTAAATTACGCGGGCGCGCCAAAAACAATCCCCTTATCAAACGCTTTGCTACCCTCTAGTGGATGTAACTCGTACTAACTGAAATGTAAACAATCCATACTCATTTGAGTAGGTTATGGTTGTGTTTTGATTAAAACTTTTCGGTTCATCAATTTGTTTCTTTGCGCCTCGTAGATGTTTTTGAAAGATTAATTTCGGACTGTCAATCCCTTATCTTTAAGTTTAGTTCCGACCCCTCAACCACCAATCAAATTTTTGTGGTCATGGCAGATGAATCTCGGAATATCGAAATCAAAGCCAAGGTTCACGATTTTGAGTATTTCATAAGGAAGTCCGAGGAAATTAGTGGCGGAAAAGGTACATTTATCGAGCAAGAAGATATATTTTTCAACGTGCCGAACGGTAGATTAAAGCTCCGATTCAGGGATAAGGTACGTATGATCTTTTTTGTAGGAGCATGACTTCCGTTCAAAGTCAATCACAACGAAGATACTTCCAGTTCTTTTTACCAAATCAGCATGACTTTAAAGCAGTATTTGTGATGAATACGAGGAAATGAGCCTGTGAGGTAGAAATATAATCAATTTGAAATAAATCTAATGCAGTAAAGAGGAGTTCTTTCTCAAACTACGGCACAAGAACACCTAAAAATCGTGAAAGTTTACTGTTGCAGAGGAGGTCAGAGTTAGAGAACTAATGCACCGATTTTGTGAATTTCAGACAAATATATACGAAGTTTGCCAGTGCTACTGCCAGTTTTAAAAATGATTTATGTAAAAAAAAGTACGATAATAGTACTAGTGCATATTATGGTTTGAAGTTTTGGCCAAATATTCTTAAGAGCAGGTAAGTATCTAATGGTAAGAGTTCAGTATCATATTTGAAATTGATATTTCAGCATAAATTCTACCCAAGGAGAGAGCCTCTTTTCTTCATTTTGAATATTTTCATCTTTTTAATGTTGCTGCATTGGTTTGTGTTTCAGAATACCGATTGTGGAGAGTTGATCTATTATGAGCGGCCAGATCAACAAGGGCCAAAGCTCTCCAAGTTCAATAGGAGTAATTTTGGTAACAGTAAAGACCTGCAACACATTTTGGCATTGGCTTTAGGTATCAAAGGAGTTGTAAGGAAAAAGCGGCTCCTTTATCTGACCGGTCAGACAAGAATCCATGCAGATTTAGTCGAAAACTTAGGCTCTTTCATGGAATTGGAGGTAATGACCAAAATTATTATCAATTGCTAAATTTCTAAGACTTATTGCAACTGTATCTACAGAGAGAAAAGCATCCTCTTGAAAGTGGAAGGTCAGCAACTATGAACCACCAAGCTCAAAAAATTTGAAAATGTGCAAAATTTAAAATCTAAAAAACTCATATTTTTATTCTTATGTAACAAATATCAACATATCAACAGTGTAAGTCCGCAACCACGTATCCCGATTTGAGACATCGCAGACTTCCTGCCATACTTTATTTTTTAAATGAAAAACTACTCAACGAAAATTCTCAAAAACTGCTGTGATTTTTCTTATCAGTGCCAAGAAAATTCTGCGAAAGCTTCAAGGAATGATTTCAATTTGTTCTTCTTTAAAATGATGACATAGAGGCAGAGATCTTCAGACACTGCAAACGAGTTATGTGATTGCGGACTTCCGCTGTCGATATGAGATCTATTGTGAACTCCTAACCAACTCCCTTTTTCAATTTGCATTGATAATGATTGTTTAGTCAATCCTTGAACATGTTTGCTGGTAGGTAACCATTATAGATATAAGTACGTAAGGAGGGTTTTCCTGATAAATTTTAACTCGCTCAATAGTTTTAGAACGCTTCAAGAAAGAATGTGCCTCAGCAATGAATAACTTGTCGAAGTAAAAATAGCATTTAGGTATTTCATACACTTTTGATCAAAGTAACTTTTTGATAGATCAAGTGTAGGTAGCACCTTAGTGTGCTAAAGGCCGATGTTTGCTCCTCAAGGATAATCTACACCCAGTTTTGGCAAGACATTTTTGCAGGGTTGTGGTATGGCTATTCTTACGTAAAATTTGCAAAAAAACTAAATAAACTATTAAAAAATTTACAGTAGCGTTTTTAAATGGAGAAAAAGATTATCCAAGTCCGACCAATCAAAAATCGATGGTTGAGTTGACTTAACAAGATCGATGCCTCATTAAGCCATTGAGAAAAAAAAGGAGGTGTTTGCATTTCGGACATCTTGGAATTTATTTGATGAAGCAGGTCGGCACAGCGACTTTCATCATCGAATTTGTTGGAAATGGTGTAATTTATGGAAAAAAGTCATTCTATAAAAAGTGCTTGAAATTATATCATGAGTTGATTCAAGCAAAAAAATGGGACATTATGGTCCGTTTTTCTTACATCGAACTCCGGATTTTGCTGGCCAGGCTGTACCGACCTACTTCACAGGGTAAACAAACCTCAAGATGCAAACACCTCCTTTTTTTTCTCTATGTCATTCAGCTAAGTTTAACCAATCAACAAACACCGTCTCCCCTGCCTGGCTACATCATCAAAGTCATCAAAACATTCAGTTTCAAACAGCAGCCTGAGTATTTTGTCATGAAAAAATCCTATCTGAGTTTTGGGAACAATTCTTTGTATCAAAAATTCATTATTTTTCTAGGTTTGCTTACAAAAGAATCAGACTCCAGAAGAAGGTATGCGAATAGCAGAATCGTTGATGAATCTACTCGGAGTTTCAAGAAGCGACTTACAACCTAAAGCTTACATCGATTTACTCGAAGAGAAGTTTAATTCAGCAATTGCATGCTAAGTCTTCAAAAGGTGCTCACTGTAAATAACTTGCTCCATTCCATCAGATAACAGCTGTAAATTTCCCTGGTTGGAATCTATCAGCTAGAATTTTTTCTGTTCTTTTTTAATGTCCATGCCAAAATGTCTAGTAGTAAAATGAGCACATACTTTTCTGACGTGAAGTTAACATTCCAAACACTGATTTTCGGCAGTGACAAATGTGACTGCTTTAATATTATTGAATTGTCAGAAATGTATGGCATGAGAAAAAGCAGAAAAATGCTCCAAATGCCCTTTAATTGATCTCTAGACTTGAAGTAGCCAATGCGTAAGACTCGGTAACTGAATTTTTCACATTAAAGAAAGCATTAAATGAGATCAAAAGTGCTCAATTCCATCACAACATGTTTTTCCCCCAACTTAATATTTATCTCATAAATAGCGAATGGATAAACCCTTTCATTATTCGAATTTTCATTGGAGGGAAAATTGTTGTTGTTTACTGAACTGATTTTTCATGATGTTAATTTATAACCCCATGTGGAAACGTTGCAGCAGTGTTTTACCTTTTAAAGCCCACATGCTGCAAACTATTCTTTTATCCCTATTGAGAAATGGCAGGATTTTATAAAAGTAGCCATAGTAATATTTTAAATGTTTAAAACAAGTTCCTCTCTATTAAATAATTAGTCAGGCATAACTTTTAAAAAGTTCTTATGAATTATTTTTTTTTCTTTTCTCTTAATATCTCTGAATAAAATTGGAACAATTTTAATGTTTGTAATGATATTGTGACTCCTGATCTTCTTTTGACAAAAATTGGATAAGATATGAGTCAAATTATTGTAAGTAGGTAAGTACTTTCCTTGGTTTTCCTACCAAAATAACCTATTTTGTAATTCTTTTCTTCAAGTATGCATCAGCTTTTATTTGCTGAAGGTAAGATTTTATTTACCTCAGTAGATCAGATTTTATAAAAAGTTCTATAAATAGATCATCTCTAACAATGTCACACTGGAAGGAAGCATCTCAACTTAAATTCAGCCATCAGAGAATTTCAGCTCCTCCTAGCTGTTGTGAAATTAAAATGTGTCCAGAGTGTTTTATATTCTGAGAGCCTCTTCATTTCTATTGTGCCATTCCAAGGAAGAACGCCGTCTGAGCCTTCAGACGTTGCCATATTTCCTTCCAGATGAAACAAATTTACTGGGAAAATTTTGAATATTATTCTTCAAATTTTTCAGACAATTTTGTTTGCAATTTAATCTAAAATGTCTCAAAATTTCAACGAAAAATATGCATACCTTTCCTCAAAAATATGTGTTTTATCCGGGAATTTTAGCATCTCTGGAATGTTCACACAACTTTCTTCCCTAGCACGGCAGTGTAGAAGTATGAGAAGCTGTTTTGGGTAATGGTTCTCGATTGCTCACTGTTTAGGCTGTGATGAAAATAAAGAATAAATACGAATGGCTTACATAAATATTTTGAGCGATTTTAAGGAACAAATTCCGATTTCAATTTAAAAGAAGAAATAATTGAGATCTTGTCAGTTTGTTCTACCATTTAAACTTAGTGAATTTATCATTTTGTTTCCCTTTGATTGATTTTTTGATTAGTTTTTAAAGCATGCCATTAAGTTAGCTAAGCATAAAGTTAAATTAGATCATTGAATCAATAAATTGTATTAAAGTTTGGAAAAATTCGGTTTTCTTTCTTTCTTCAGTCTCATTTAACATAATATTTTAAGTGACCTTTAGAACATGGGGTTTGTTTAAGATTTAGATGCTGTCATTATGAAAAAGTATCTCTGCCCCACAGACTACTTCTATGCTGTTGCTGTAATTATCTTAGCGACACCAATTGAGTTCAGATATTACAGGCATGCTGCAAGTTTTAAATTATAAAATAAGATTGAGATCACCGGGTTGTAGATAACAGTAAATTATTTTGCTGAACAAAGAATAATAAGAATTGACATCATTTAGATTTATAAATAGATTACTCTCATAAGAAAGGATAACCAAGATGGTACTCAAGCTGTAGAATTTAACGTCAACTGGTGCCAGAGGGGAGGCTTCCTTCTCATCCTGTCGCAAATGAGGGGATACCTCCATATACACCTATGTTTTCAGATGGACCACTAGACAAGGTAAAAATTCAAGCTTTGATACGTGCTGTCTCATCTAAATTTCACGTAGAGGCACAATTGGACTACATTTTGCAATTTGGACTTATAAATTCTGGCTCATCTGAAAAAATACTTATGTGCATAGGGAAACTAATGGCACATACGTTTTTTTTAAACCGGGCCGGAATTTATAGTTCCTAATTGCAAAATGTAGTCCAATTTTTGCAAAGAAAATTATTGAAAGTTATTACCAGGATATTAGCGTTCTTCAATGCATAAATTCAAACTCATCAGTCATAGAAAAAGAAGATACTTTACTTTAACCCTTTGAGACCCCTTCAAGGGCTCAAATAGCACACTAAATGTTACCTTGACAATTTCCAAAGTATGAAAATATGGTAACTTTAATCTTCACACTTCAGATTAGATGTTGCATTTTCTTTCGATTTTGAACAACACAAAGCGGGGAGGGAACACTGCTTGATTAAGAAGCCCTGCTGGTCCGTTGTGGAGCTAACAGTTGACTCTGATTTTTATGTGAACAGGAAATTCAAATTAATCGTATTGAGTGCAAAATAAAAACATTTTTACATTCCGTAGGCGTTGATTTCAGTTATTTTCATTGCGCAAATCATGTTCTACTTAAAATTTTGAGGAAAACACATCTAACAGCATGCTTACAATGCATATCATATCTTATGGTCCATAGAAGTTAAAACCAACACAGCACTTTACCTACAAATCCCAGAAACTGCCAACATAGTACTTTAGACAGTTGGAAATCATGCTATTTATTTTGTTGGTCACAAAATATTTTACCCTAGAAATTAAAACTGAAACCAGAATATTTTGGAAAATTAAGTAAAATAATCTATGACGCAATGAGTCTATATAATTTATCAAGGGAACAAAGAAAAATCAACTGTGTACAAAATTCATATATTCTAACAAGAAAGATAGTAACATGCACCAATATAGTTTTAAATTGCTTTTTTTAAACTAATTTAGACTAACTCCATCTGAGCGAGCAATTTTTCACAGGACTTCAGTGGTATTCAATTCCTTCAAACTTAGTACGTAAAGATAAATTAAGAAAATAATTTTTGAGCAATTGACACTAGTACAAAGTGATCTGAAGATTCACATTATCCTCTCCTGCTATATTATTTTTACGAAAGCAGTGTCTGCAAAGTTCAAGGAAAAGGACCTGTGGTAAAAACTTAAGAATCTTCATTACGTTGCTGAATGCTGAGCTTTAAAAAGAAAATAAGAAAAAAAGAAAAAAACTTAAAATCCCCACAAACTGATAAAATATTGAAACTCTAATGCTAATTATGAGTAACAAACGTTAAACCTAATGAGAAGTGTGCATGAAAGACATGAAAAATACATATTTTTGTTGTTTATCTGATTCCTTACATATTATGTTTTTTAAGAAATGACATTGAGCTTCTTCAGATGAATGAGAAAAATAAAGATTGACAGAAATGTATGCACCCCTTAAGTATACATTTCTGAGACGGATGACAAGAGTGTTTATTGTCCTAACCAGTTGGTAGAAAGATACCTAGTTCTGGTGATCGTACTTTTGAAAACACACCGTTTTGGAATTTCATTTTATTAAAATAAAAAATATAATAAAAGGGAAAAATGAGTTTCTTCTTAAAGTCTAGGGGTAAATTATTCAAACATGAGTGCAGGGAAAAAAAGAGGACTTCAAGGCTGGGAATTATCTTCTGGTAATTCGTCAATGCTATAGGTTGTCATAGTTTTAGGATTCACAATGGCATGTACCATTGAAAAAAAGGGCTTTAAAAAGCTAAAGCACGATGTGAATGGTGAGTCTTAGGACATTAATAGATAGTCATTTTCACTGTTCATGATGAAATCCGTCGAATGGCTCAATATTCATTGGTTCTGTTGCTGCACTGGGTGAATTTTCAGTACAATTGGGGGTCATTTTACCATATTGATCATGCTGAAAATTCCTAGATGATTCATACTCCTTTTGTGCTATGGGATCATATGCATCCATGTTTCCAAAAATGAAATGGTTTCCAAACTGCTCACACTCGAAGCCTTTGTCTGGTTCATTTTCTTCTTGCTTAATGAGTTTGCTCGGGTCTGATGCTCCAGTTTCCTGGACACATGAACTGACACTGTTTCCTTCTACATTAACAAAAGTGACAGCTTGTCTCCTGTCAGCATTATTTGAAACCATTGTTGCAACAATTTTTTGTGCCATCTTTTTAAGCTTCATCTTATCACGGCGTTTCGGACTAAATTGCTTAAAGCATTTAAGTTCCCACGTTGACGGAAGTTTTCGAGGACGTTTCTTCGAAGTAGCCTCTCGGTCCTCAGTTAATACTCTGACAGGATTTCCAAGTATTAAAGATTCGACCATTTGCATTAATTTCTGTTCGGTTTTTCGTTTATTTTTTTTCAACCGCACCTGTCGTTCATGCATCGCCCATTGGATTAATGGAGTTGGCTCATTGTTTGAAGACGGCTTTAGATTCTGTTCATGATTGTCAGTATTCTTATCTTTGAGAACACATTGCTCAACATCTAGCAAAGCATTAGTCTTTCCATGAACAGGATAATTGTCTCTGAAATGTAACCTTCGAAAAAAGTCACCATTTCTGTCTGAGATAGTGTTATGGAGTTGACTGATGTGATCCAGCAACTCCGTTTCAGTTTTAAATTTAGCATCACAATAAAGACAAAGACGGAGTCTGAACAAACACTCTTCTCTTTTGTGTTGAGTCAATTTTTTTTCCGTGTCAAAATTAGCTGAGCACTCAGTGCAGACATACATATCATTGTGAAGTGGAACATGTGCCATCCACAACTCTTTTTCATAGAAAACATCAAAACAGTATGGGCAATGAAAAACTTTACTACCTCGGTGCATAACATCTCTGTGATGCCAAATAAGAATAATATCAACGAATTCTGATGGACACAGATGACATCTATGAATGACACAGTGTTGTCCTATCAAGTGGTCATGGAGCAGAACTGGATCAATAAAACAGCGATTGCAGCGTGGACAAGGCAGTTCATTCTCAATGGGCTTTCCGAAATGCGCGTCTATCAGGTGGGATTCGAAAGAATTTCTTAGGATGAAATGACTTTGACAGAGTAAGCACTTAAAGGATGCACAATTTTTTGATGAGTGGGCAGTAAGTCCTCTTCGAGACCAGAACATCGCATGACATTGCTGACAAGTAAACTGAGTACAAGCATGTGTTTTTAGATGTTTTTTGTATGGATCTTCTTCTAAGAATGAGAGCGGGCATACTTTACAAAAAAATTTGTCCATCTTATGCTTTTCTACATGCTGTAAACAGGCCTCTGCTGACTCAAAAGAGGTGTCACAGCGTCTACAAGTGCGGCAATCTGGTGAAACCCACTTTTTCAGCAGAGCAATTGGCTTTTTTGCTTTACGATGTGGGTTGGTTTTGTTCGCCCAATTTTTCTTCAGTTTAGCTGTCGTCATCGTTTTAATAGAACTAATTCCAGTAAAATTAATTTTATTTGATTTTTTCTTGGCAACAAGAGATTTGCAACAGGGGTTCCTTTGTGAACTTTCTTGATGGGATGAATCTTGATGGATGCCACTGTTCAGATATTGTTTACAGCCATATTCGTGTATGTTTCCTGACTTAGGACAAAATGTACTCCTGTTGATTTCGAAAAAATCAGATTCAGATTGCATAAGGGGTTTTCCTGAGGCAAAAGAATATCCTGTATTCTCTGAAGTACAGGAAGACAAATCTTTTGGTCCTCCAGTTTGTGATGAGAAATTTGTCTCATCATCTAAAAACGTTTCGGTCTCTATTTTAAATTCCTTCTTTTCAATTGGGAAATAATTTTGGTTGCAAGTCGTATTGACAGTATCTCTGACTGACGAAAAAATTGCCTTTTGTTTTGTGGCAAAACATTCTTCTACAGAAGATTTTTCTGATACGATATTTTGAGTAGATTTTATATAAGAACCTGAGTTTTCATGAACATCCACCAGCTGAGCAGAGCATTCATTCTTGAATGTGCCTGATGAGTCATTAACATGTTTCGCTTCAAAGTTCCCAGTTTTGATATTCATTCCTTCTTCTTTGATAATACCTGAAAAAAATAAAACGCAGGAGTTAAAGGAGGAGAAAGTTTTAGGCAGATAATTAGTCATACTCTGTCACAATTAGTAAGTCCTTCCAAACTATCCTTCTCAACAAGTTCAACTTTAACTATTAATGTACATGATATTTAAGGCATACAATTTGGAAAACATTTGATGAGCAAATGACAAAAAACACTGTTGAAATTGGATTATTATGGATTTTTAGTTCTGGAAAAAAAAGGAGGAAAAAAAACTTTATAAGCCTGATAAAAATATTGAAGGTAAAAATTGAGAGAATGCCTTCCTTTGTCAATTTACTTTAGCTCCTTTTTTGGCGAATTGGACGGAAAAATTAGTTCCGATTCCTCATGCTTTGTTTACAAGAAACTTTTTCATTTATATTTAAGTGTAACTGTGCCTAGTATCAACTCACTTAAACTTTTTTTACAAGTTTTGAGTTTTACGTGTTTAGCCTAAGCTGACCGATCCTTGATACTCAATCCATGCATACAAATCTTCCTAATTATCTGTTGCAATCCACACCAAAGAATTAAAAGCTCCAAAACCACTATCAGGGATGCAGGAACTTCTTGACTACATGACCAAGTAGGTCAAGATTAGTTGTGTAAAAATGGGAAGGTCTCAAAAACGGATTTAATAGATAAAGGGCCAGCAAAATCGCATGTTTTTTCCCCTTCAAAATAGCATGTTTTTTTCTTCTTCAAAAATGCACGTTTCTTCCAAAACCAAAGTAATATTAATTTATAAAAAAAAAAATCGAGGAAATTTTTATACAGGGTTATCCAGAAGTCCGGGACCCCCCTTATAACTTTTGAACAAAAAATGCTAGAGATTTGAAATTTGGTGAATAATCCTAGGTCAAAGGGAACTACTATTTGGCGTACCCAAAATTTTGGGGGGGCGCCCCCCCCCGAGGGGGGGCGGACCCTAACCCTTTTTTTTCAAATAAGAACCCCTATCTTGTGATACATCATTCGAAAGGGCTTGAAAAAAGAAAACTTTTGGCGCAAACCGATTGTCGATACCTCGATTTTTAACAAAATGGCGGCCAAAAGATGGCGGAAATGCGTTTTTTGGTTATTTGCCGTCGGAATCGCTTGAAACTTGGTTTCCACAGGTTTTCGAGCACGAAAAAAACAAATACGATATTGGATCTGCAAAATACCCGAGCTTTTCCAAGATGGCAGCCAAGATGGTGAGTAATTTCAATTAACGCAACGCGTTAACGCGTTTTAGCGAACGCTATTAAAATGTGCCTCAGTGGTCGGGCAGAAGGGGAGGCACGGGTGGGACTCGACGCGTAGCCACCTCCCCGTGGTGAGTGCTGGGTAGTTGATTTGACAAATCAGGAAACACGATTTTCAACTGGCTGAGAACAACGCACAGGAAATCTGACACATTCCGATTTAAACTTATTTTCCCGCCATTTTTCGGCCGCCATCTTGGAAAAGCTCGGGTATTTTGCAAATCTAATATCGTATTTTTTTTTTTTCGTGCTCGAAAACCTGTGGAAACCAAGTTTCAAGCGAATCCGACGGCAAATAACCAAAAACGCATTTCCGCCATTTTTTGGCCGCCATTTTGTTAAAAATTGAGGTATCGACAATCGGTTTGCGCCAAAAGTTTTCTTTTTTCAAGCCCTTTCGAATGATGTATCACAAGATAGGGGTTCCTATTTGAAAAAAAAGGGTTAGGGTCCGCCCCCCCTCAGGGGGGCCGCCCCCCAAAATTTTGGGTACGCCAAAAAGTAGTTCCCTTTCACCTAGGAATATTCCCCAAATTTCGAATCCCTAGCATTTTTGTTCATGAGTTATGAGCGGAGGCCCAGACTTTTGAATGAGCCGCCATTTTTTGGCCGCCATTTTGTTAAAAATTGAGGTATCGACAATCGGTTTGCGCCGAAAGTTTTCTTTTTTTTAAGCCCTTCCGAATGATGTATCACAAGATAGGGGTTCCCATTTGAAAAAAAAAAGTTAGGGTCCGCCCCCCCTCAGGGGGGGCGCCCCCCAAAATTTTGGGTACGCCAAAAAGTAGTTCCCTTTGACCTAGGATTAATTCCCAAATTTCAAATCTCTAACATTTTTTGTATAAAAGTTATAAGGGGGGTCCCGGACTTCTGGATAACCCTGTATACAGAGCCATAAGAAGGTACTTCAGAACTTTAAAAGAAAAAGGGGGTTCTTATAATGGGAAGGGAAAGAACTTCCTGCATCCCTGACTATGCTCTTGTCTCTTCCGTATGCAATAAACCTATAGATGCAGCCAATGCTGTGCATCTCTTTGTCTTATACCTCCAATTCATGTAGGATCTCACAGAGGCTTTGAAGCTGAAAGAATTATGCTCGACGTCAGGCCCTAACAATGAAATTTTGGGGACAACGGATGTTGGGAAGTCGCTGATAATTGAAGTAATTCCTTCAAGTAACGTACGAAAAAATGATCACATGCTCATGAAGTCATGAATCCACTGTAAGTTGAGTTGCTGAAGCCTTGCTTTTGTAATAATTGCTCCCCTTGTTTATTTTCCGCAGAAAACATTCTTGAAGAAGAGAGAAAACCATCAAGTTGATCTCTTTAGATGAGGGGAAGAAATTCCTGGTGTTGGTGAAAACCTGGATTATTTGCGCCTGCCGGTGGAAAAATAAGGAAATGGGATGAAAATGGATGGATTTCACCAATAGTTTTATTGTGAGATGATTTATAATATTGACTAGTATCACACTCACTGAAAAGCTGAATGCTTAAAAAAAGTAATCACCAGCCATTGCCATTACCAGGTGTACATAATCCTTCACCAAAATGATTCTTATAGGCATTAGTACAATTGTTCTTGGAACCTGTCAAATGAGATGAATCACTCACCTACATTTATCTGAAGTGTAGCTAGGCATTCTGTTCCAGTTCTTATTTCATTGCTAGTTTTCCTTCTGTTTTGATATCAAGAATGGGTGAATTAGCTCCTTGAATCCAGCCATCTCAAGATTCCATCATAAGCTAAGAGGATAACCGTTGAGACTCAGATAGTGTTGATGGTCAGGTTCACACAAATTCTTCTTCATTGGCTTCTTTGTTGTTCTGTGTCTTTTTTCCATGTATATTTTCGATTTTTTTCATCATATGACTTCCCTGGAAGTATTCTTATATAGATATGTATAGCTGATGTATATCTGTTTGATATTATTTTTAATCAAGATTGATTTTACTGAGGCAGTCTTGCCTTTTATAATTCTTTGAAACTTCATTTCCTTGTTATCTATTGCCTTGACATCATGTCAAGATAAATGTATCTTTTTGTTGTAATAAGAAGCAAAATTCTTTCATGCTTTGTTCAGCGCTATCATGTATATTCCTTTTCAATGGAATCTATGTTAATTCATTTTACTGGGAATACTCCAGTATTTGAACAGAAAAATGCTCAGTATTGCACTGTTTGGTTTGAGCTTACTTACTGAATAGTTTCTTCAAAACATGCAAAAGGATTAGTAGCCTTAGGCACGATATAGTGATACAAGTGTACAATAAAGATCCTGTGCTTTGATTTTCGTCACCACAACAAGAAGAGGCGTATTTAGGCAAGTTCTCATTTGTATGATGAATCAACTGATAACTATCATGAGTTAGAAAAAGAAACAGCATTTGATGAGGGCTCATTTGCTAAAATGTCTAAATATGTACTCACTTGTCCTAATTTCAAAGAATTTTTTTTCTTGAAATAGGGAAACAAAATTCACCTAGAATATGTGCGGTTGGTGTTTTGTGAATACATATTTATCAAAGAAGCTACAAAATCTTTCTGATCAAAACAGGAGCGGCAAAAATCAGCATCTTCAGGGTCTGCTACAGGACTTTTTTGAGTGCGCTGTATATGCTCTTAAAGACCAAAAGGACTCATGGCAAGAATGACATAAAAATTTACTGCAAGCGTGAGTTTTTAAGTGCTCTTCATACAGATTCCTACATCGAAACGAAAGGGGGCAGGATTTACAGGAATATGTGTCCCAAAAATGATATTTTACGTGCTTTAGACAGGATTTAACAGTCTCAAAAGAAGTTCCACAGCGTTTACAGGTCAGGAAATCAAGTGAAATCCACTTATTTGCTTCTGCCACGCTCAAACGCTGAGGAATATTCTCTCTTGCTAAAAGCTCATTTATGATTCCCTGCCTGCTTTTTCGTTTGGGATTAAATGGCCTGTCTCTATGATCAGAAAAGTCAGAGAAAAAGCAGATCAAAGTTGGCTCTGAATCTTGTTTGCAAACAAGAGCACTTTTACGACGTGATAGAGATGTAGAAGAAGGAACAGGAGGGGTAGCATTGGGATTAAGTTCAGTTTTAGGATCCTGTTGGGGTTTGCATGCTGCAGTGCGGTCATTGTTTATGATGGACAAAGACTCACTGGCAGTTAGGGTTGAGCCAAGAAAATGGTTTACTGTAGATGCAAGTCGAGGTTCACATAAAGGATCTCTCGTAAGATAAGTTGTGGATGAAGTATTACTCGCAGACGAGGTAAAATTGAGAGTATGTTTAGTTGTCAAGTCAGACTGAGGACTGCATGAAAAATCATTTTCATCCTTTGATAAAAAAGATGAATTACTGGATTCAGGCCAGCAAAGAGCTTGCTTAGAATCGGTATAAGGCAGAGAAGAGGATGTATTGTTAGTTTGGGGCAGTGTGCAATTTAACTCTGGATCATATGAATGTATTTTATCACAAGATCTAGACGAGGAAAGACTGGATTCTGATTCTACACTTGCGTCACAGTTCAATGAGAAATTGGATTTTTGAGAAAGAGTACAGTTTGTAGACATCTGTGGAGAGGTGGGCTCTGAGGGGACAGGGCAACTGGAAATTGGTTCTGGAAGAATAATAGGAATTCCTTTTGTTAGTTTACTTTTTGCAGTGAGGGCACAATTACTTGATGATGACACTGAAAAGAGTTTTGAGGAGGGAAAAGAGTTGCCAGAGACTGATTTTCGAAGAATTCTGGGGGTAGTTTTGGCGATTTCAGATTTTCTAGGATGTGTTAAGTTTCTGATTTTTTTTTCCATTTCTAATTTTTCATTGAAGGATACAGAGTTGCTGCATGGTTTAAGACTGGTATTAGGATGCATTTCAAGAGAAATTTCATTTTGAGGTGAAAATTGGACATCACTTGAGATACGCTGGAAATCTGCGAGGGGTATTACAATGCGAGATTTTTTTTTAAGTTCTCTTCCTTGATAACTTTCGAAATAGTGATAGTATAATTTTTGCCAAACACCTTTCTCCATGTTTGGAATTGCATTAATAACAAATTTTTCTAGTTCTCTGGGGACTTTTGTGTGCTCTTCATAATTTTCCTTGATGGTAGATGGAGGCAGGTCCCAATCCTTGGTATTTGTGTGCGACAAGGAAAAATTTGATGCGTCACAACTGCGATTCATTTTATTGCCAATAATGTCATGGTGGATGAATTTATTTCCATCCTCCACCGATTCACTTTTCATAGGAGAAATTTTATTAGAAACTGCAGATGCCTCAAAATTCGGGGAGCAAGGATTAAAATTTTCAGAAATGACAGCTTGAGATACAGGAACATCCTCAAAGTGAGAAGTAGAGCATTTATCGGAGTTTTCTTGTTGGTGACACTCAGTCTTTACTTCACTTCCTGTCCCAGCAAAACTATTTTCAGAGGATAGTGAGTGGAAAGGGCTATTTTCTTGTGTGAAAACAACCTCCTCCTTTACAATAATACTTTCTTGTGCAATTGAATATTCCTGTGGTGATTCTGCCCAGGGATTCAATTTGTCACTAAAATGTGCATGTGTTTCAAAATTGGTACCTGCATGCTGCAAATTGGATTGAAAGGCATCAAGATTTGCTGAGCTAGTGACACTTGTAACTTCAATACTTGGAGTTTCAATGTCTTCTACTTCTTGCTTGACATGGTCAGCTCCTAAAAAAGAGTAAAAATAAAGGGAAGAATAAGCACTTTCATTCAGGAGTCTTCTGTAGGTACACAGTGTGCTTGTGATATTTGTAGTTAAATGCTGTGAAAAGAATAACAGACACCTCCACACATACTAGAATGCAGGGAGACCCTGAGTCACAAGGAATTTTTTTCTTCTTTTTTTTCAGGTTTAATTCTGCCGTTTGGCTTCCAACTTTGTATCCTCTCTGAAGATAAGGCTCCCTTTGATACTCTCTTTTGTTTTTTTCCTCCAAAATTTTTCCTAACATACTTTTTACTGGGGGCCCAGTCTTCAATTCAAATTGTATTACAAAAAATTCAATTTTTTTGTCACTTTCCGGATTTTGGGTCATAGAACCAGCTTGAAATCCTTGGAAGACCTTGGATAATCCCTGCACATTTCAGATTCAAAACTGGACTACATTTTGCAATTTGGAACTATAAAATAGCCCGGTTTAAAAACGTTGTAAGTGCCATTAGTTTCCGTATGCACATATCGTCACCTTCCAGGCAAAGTATCACAAACGCCATGCGACGTTTAAAAATTTCCGCCACCATTTTATTTCTTTACTGAGAAATTGTTGGTTTAATCTGTTTGGAAATTTCACTAAATTTTATCGGCAGCACAAAGAAAATTCAGTGAAATTTTCGGACAGCTTCGTTGAACAATTTCTCTGTAAAAAAATAAAATGATGGCGGAAATTTTTAAACATCGCATGGCGCTTGTGATACTTTGCCTGGAAGGTGATGATATGTGTTTTTCCAGAATTACCAGAATTTATAGTTCCAAAATGCAAAATGCAGTCCAACTAATCTATTGTTGAGGGCAATTTTCTGTAATATTTGGTCCATGATACATACANGTGCCATTAGTTTCCGTATGCACATATCGTCACCTTCCAGGCAAAGTATCACAAGCGTCATGCGACGTTTAAAAATTTCCGCCACCATTTTATTTCTTTACTGAGAAATTGTTGGTTTAATCTGTTTGGAAATTTCACTAAATTTTATCGGCAGCACAAAGAAAATTCAGTGAAATTTTCGGACAGCTTCGTTGAACAATTTCTCTGTAAAAAAATAAAATGATGGCGGAAATTTTTAAACATCGCATGGCGCTTGTGATACTTTGCCTGGAAGGTGATGATATGTGTTTTTCCAGAATTACCAGAATTTATAGTTCCAAAATGCAAAATGCAGTCCAACTAATCTATTGTTGAGGGCAATTTTCTGTAATATTTGGTCCATGATACATACAGACCTCTAGGGGAGTGAGGAAGGGAGGAGGAAAAAGCAAGAGGGGCCAGAGGAGTTCTATTGGAATCCAAGCTGGAGGGGGAGGGGGGGCTGGGAAAGTTTTTGCAAGGGGCCTAGTGGTATTTTCTTACGCCACCGTGTGAGAAGTTTCTTCAAAAGCTGTTCATTGGGTTTCTCCTTGAAACACTCTTGTTCTTCGAAATGGCTGAGGTAATTTGTGCTTCATGAGAGAAACTATAATATTCAGGGGAGCAATTGAACGACTAACTCACAGCCTCATTAGAAGTCCTCTAAAATTTATCTTCATTTTTTTTACATTTGTTTAGAACTCTCATTAAAAACAGTGCTTTTTTCTTATTTTTTAATTTTATTAATTGTGAATTGATTAGCACAGAAAATAGATTTCCTCCATAAAGGTAGTTACAAATAAATTCACTTAAAACCCATGTAAACATTGGGTAGAACCTGAAAGCTACATTTATTTGCAAAAATGAGCAAAAACCTAGATTAAATTTTAACTCTCATCCTTTCTGTGCTTAAAACCATTTAACTGATCCTAAAATGATATACTGAGTACTGAGCCTCGATCTCAACATTAAATAGCCAAATCAGCTGCCTGCCAACAGGCGATTTTTTTGAGGCTCAATACTTCATCCTTCAGATTTTAAGGTAGGTTTCTTTCAAATTTTGCACACAATTCTTTTTGAAACAGTCTTTAACTGAATGCTCCAGGTAAATTTAAGTGATAGACTCCACAACTGATTTTTGAAGGCTTCTGTAATTTCAATAAGTTAAGGAGGCACCTGTACATTACAAAATCCTTAAAACTGGTACAGTTTTTCAAATCTCCACTTCTGTTCTATTTTTTCAAAGAAGACCGAACTAACATCATGGCTTGAAATTTATGCAGAATTCTTCGCGCTGAATCACCAAGATTTTTAAGAAGTGTCTTGAGGTATGACAGGCAGCCTTCAAGGCTGTCAACTGAAATACGCGTTTCTGCAGTTTCAATGTCAATAAATAATTACTTTCTTAAGTACATTGTGTTAACAATTTCAAATTTATAAAGAAACCCTGCCATTAAAAGGAGCCGTTAGGGGCTGTTCAAGTATTATGTAAGCCGTTTTTACACCAATCCAAAAAAAAGATGACGTTATTCTTCTGTTTTCCTTCGATTTCTGATTTATGGCCCTGTAAAATGTTCCCTCCTTCCACATTTTTAGGGCTTTTCCACATGTTCACGCGCCCGCCCAAGCGCGTGATCGGGCATTTTCTGCACCCTTGGCTTGGGCTGGACTCCCTTTCTCTTTGTAAGACCCCACTAGACAAGCTCAGACCCTCCCCGAGTGGACAGCATACTGGAGCAGCTTAAGTGATGAAAGATAAAAAAATATCCAAAGATCAATCATACTTACCTATAGGCAAGATGAAAGAGGGGCTCTCTTCAGCTTCTTGTTCTTCTGGGATGAATTCCTCTTTTATTTTGATCCCTTCGATCACAGCACCCCCCATGGCAGAATTTGGCTCGGTTTTCACCAGCGTGTTGTCTTCACCATCTAAAGATTGCTCATACAAAGAGCCTTGCATTGTACCATTAGCAATAGAACTGCTTGCTTCAGAGTCTTGCTCTTGTCTTCTCACTTGCTCCATTTTCATTTCCACTATGTTCTAGGAGAAGGTGAAACAAATAGAAATCAAATAAGAGTCTTGAGGAAAATCAGTGATCGGTGCATGCAGAAACAGTAGATACTTTTGATAGAACAGTTAAAACAATGTTCACACTGTTGGTATACCTTCAAATATATTAAAAAAGATTACTCCTTGCCCCTAAGGAAGAGGGGAGTAAAAAATGGTTGAAGAGGAATTGAATCATCTATGTTTCATCCTGGTCAAGATTCAAGAAAAGTTTGTTCCTTCATCTCTCATCAACAGCACTTTCAACCGTAGCTAAAAACACGATTGTTTTAAAAGGGTGATTCACCCTTTCGTTTTCTAATACTCCTGTAGTTTAATCTTAAAATCAATTCATAATCAAAATACAAATTGAATTACTTGGTTAAAAAAGGACGGAAGGTAAGTTCCTAGAAGTTTCCACAATTGCTGATGAAATAGACATTTGTTTTGAGAAAAAAATGTGGAACAGTTCTCTCGGCCTTAACTTATTACTTAAAATTTTAGTTAAGTTCTGGAAAATTGGTGGGCACAGGGAAAAAACCAAGATTGTTTTCGAAGTCAGTGCTAAAAATTACCTACTAATAAATCATATGTAAGTACGCTCCTAGCATTTATATTCTGGTAGACTTGCATAATATCAACAATGAACAGTCCATTTGAAAATGTGGAGTTTATGCCAACTAACCAGCTTTACTTGGAGATAAACGTTCAGGTGATTTAGTAGACCCCATATTTTATATCACGACGACACACGATACATCACATTGATCTGTTCAATGTTTTTACCCACTTGTCATTTTCATCTAATTTAGAGATCGAATTCCTGTTTTCATAAGACTAAAGCATTCACTTTCGGCATTTCACAAACAAATTCAAAGTAATGAAGACAGGGATTTTTGAGAGGAAGTGTATTCCATTCGAGTACAGTTCCAAGCACAAGCACCTGAAGACATGGAACTAATCGATACAATGTATTGCGAGTAGCTCTGACACAAAATTTGGCGTCCATCAAATCATATTAAAAGGTCACTTTTGATGTTCTTCATTAAGAAAGGCGTAAAGATTCAAGTTTCCACTGGGTCTGAACTTTGTAAACACCCTAAGTCGCCTTTTTCTGACGAGGGCCACCACACTCAGAAGTGGTCCAAATTGAAATTTTGCGATGAATAAGTAGAAAAATTGTACACTTACTGTAAAATAATTTCCACGTTGAAAATAGAGTATTTTGGAACATGAAGAGATTATAAACGACACATCACTAACTTCGCCGTGTTACCTAGGTGGGAGAGAGGATGTGTTCATGCTCCCAGTCCCAAATGGTAGAGCTCAAATTAGGCTGAAGAAATGGATGGCGCGCAACTTTGGAAATGGATCATTGCGAGAATTGTCCATGGAGAATAATGAAAACCAAAGAGATGACTGAAAGCTAAAGTGGCAAATCAAAATCTTGATGGGCATTGGGCAGCAGAGACAAATTGAGTAATGGTGGCTAACCTCAAAATGAACCCGGTAAATAATCATAATAAACCAAAGACATAAAGACGGAGGATCAAAGACATAAAGACGGAGCGCTCGTATCTAAAAACACGGGGAAAAAGTGAAGCTAGGTTCGGCGCTGCGCGCTTGTGTGAGTGTGTAAATGAGCGCGGGAATCCATGGCGGCAAACGGAAATTTGATTTGAACTTGTCCTCTTGATTTTTCCTTATTTCTTCTTCGAAACGTGTTTTAAATGCTTAAAACGATTATATTAAGAAAGTTCGGTCTGCGTCCTAATATATTACACCTACTTTTGCTCGGTAACAGGCAGTAATCTCAGATAAAGTTAGTTTTTCTTCTGCTTATGGTGGTTCTGCAGGTTCAAACAGGCCGTTACAGTTCTAGATCTACGTTA